AATAAATAAATTTTGGTTTTTCTACTGAACCCAGGGTAATCTGAAGATTGAAGCCTGTGTGTAAAAATGTTACCAAATGGCAAAAAGCAACAATAAAGTTTGATTTTTATTTAAAAAATAATAATCGAAATGCAATTACTCACATGCCCATTTTACTGGGGCAGGCCAACTGTCCGGATACAACTGTGGCCGTGTCAGAAGGGTCAAAGACCCATAAGCAGTACAGACCACAGAGCCCATAAGGTCCACTAGGCCACGAAGCCCAGTAGCCCACTAGGCCCAGTCCTCATAATTCATAATGAGGTGCTCTGCACCATGTATGAACATGTCACATTTTGTACTATGACTTGGCTCCCTGCTCAAACTCTCTTTGTTTCTGTTGTCTATGCCACAAGCTCCTCCCATGGGTAGGGTGGAGTCAAGGTGTACTATGTAAGTGAACAGCAGAAAAACACAGGCTAGATGCTTATCTTCTGATGAAAAATCCTGGCTTTGATATAGCATGTCCATAGGGAAGTCACCTATCGCTTCCAAACTGACTTTCTTCATCTGTCACTTTACTAATGATCTTGGAAATACTTTGTGAGGATATGTTTAAAAAACATATTTGAGGTAGGCATGGTGGTGCATTCAGGAGGTTGAGGCAGGAGGATCACTTCAAGTTCAAGGCCAGTCTGGGCTACAAAGTGAGTTTAAGGCCAGTCTGAATTGCATAGTGAAACCCTGTTTCAAAAAGACAAAAACAAAACAAACCAAAAAATCGTATTTTGGGCTAGGGAGGTAGCTCTGCAGTCTAAGTGCCTGCCTGGCAAATGCAAGGACCAGGGATCGATCGAGCCCCTCTACCACATGCCATGCGGGGCCCTGGAACCCAGGCACGCTGTGCCAGCCACGGAAACCAGGCGTGGTGGCACACACATGTAATCCTAACACAGGGGAAGCTGAGAGAGAGAGATCACTACATGTCCAAGCTGCGTAGCAAGGCCCTGTACCAAATGAAAAAATAAATAAAACCATATTTTTAAAAATATGAGGTCCAGCCAAATAGCTCAGCAGATTAAAGTGCCTGCTTAGGCAGAGCACAGTGGCCGGGGTTCAATACCTGGCCTGCCATGCCGGCCCCACCCCTGGGGCATGCTGAGAGGGTGATTGAGACAAGGTGTAGTGGTGTGTGCCTTTAATTCCAGCTCATGATGAGTCCGATCTACATAGTGAGACCCTGGAGACCCTGTCCTAAAAAACAAACAAGCAAACAAGAAAAAACCACTATCAGGGCAGGGTATTGCTCAGTGGTAGAACACTTGCCTAGCATGCACAATACCCTAGGTTCAGTCTCCAGCACCACACAAAACACATAGACAATCCCCAAAGCAAACGTGTGCAGCACGATTAATCTACAAGCATTTATTAAGTACCTACTTTTGTGAGGCAATATTTTCCCCGAAAGTGGCCGAGTTAGAAAAGTGAAGATACAATGTACCAAACATTAACCCAGCAGAAATCACACAAATCATGACTATGTAATTGCTATATTGCAAGTAGAGGCTTTCTTATGATCATGGGCTTCAGGAGCTATAAAAGGGCCTGGCAGGACAGTGGTGCCTGCGCAGCGTACATGGGGGTAGGGCACATGCAAAGGCCGGAGGCTGGAGTAGCCCGACATTCAGTAACGGACCACTGCAATGAAGCGCCTGCCACGTACACTGCCCCCTGCTATGAAGCCAGCCACACCTGCGCTCGCTGCTGCTGGTCCTCAGGCAGTGTGGCCCCATGCTCCTGGTCAGTATGGTCCAGTGCACCTGACTTGGGGAAGAAAGGCACCCAGCCACAGGCAACCTGCTTGTCCTGGAGGCGGCAGCCGCTGCCCCCACACAAAAGCCTTGGGCCACAGGAAAGTGATTCACTGAGCTGATCACAACTCCTGAAAGAGAGACCCAGAAAAGCGTTCCAGCAGTAGGGAGCCTTGAAGAGACACGTACTGAGCACAGCAAATGGAAGCCTGGAGGTAGGCGAGAAGACTTTCTCCCTCTCAGCAGAGCCAGGTCTCAGCACCCCAGAGCCCGGGGCGGGGGCAGGCTTTCGAGGCCTGCTGTGGCGGGTTCCTCGGGCCCCTCTGAGCATCAGCGGGCAACACCTTGCTTCCTGGCTTCACTTCCCCTGTGCATCCTTCCTTAAATCCCCTCACTAACCAGAGCCAAGGTGCTCATTGCACATCAAGCTCACCTGAAGAAGCTTTGAAAGCACAGACCTTCAGTCCCACCCCAGAGCCCCTGAATCAGGACTCCTGAGGATGGGGCAGGGTGTGTTGTTTCTTTAATCCCACAGCTGCTTTCAATGCTCAGCCCACACTGCATCAAATTAAAGGAGCTAGGGAGTAGCTCATGGTGGAGCGCTTGTGTAGCATGCAACTGGCCTTTGGTTCTATTCCTGCTGCTAAATAAGTAAGTCAGTAAAGGAATTTGAAGAACCAAATATTTGGCAGCATGAGGAGGTCCAGGAGCACCCTGAGAAAGCTCAGTCACAGAGCAGACTGTGAACCCAACTGATCATTTTTTTCTTACTCTATATTTTAAGAACACACACAAAATATTTGCCTGAAAAAAAAAAAAAAAAAAAAAAAAAAAAAAAAAGCAAATTTCACAGCAGCCTAGTACACCTGATTCTTTCAAATAGCTTCCAAGTCTTCCTCCCTATCTGGTAATATACTGTTACAATGCTTAGTGTTCTCAAGCACTTGGGCTGGCTTTCAAGGACTCGCTAGGTCTCAGGGGGAACACTCGGATTTCTGTACACATATGTTCACTTATCATCCTAACCAGCCTGCAGGGTAGATAGTAACAGTCCTTCCCTTAAAAATGAGCAATATAGATTCCAGGCAGGTTAAGGCTAAGGTTTAAAAACTTGCAAGAGATAAAGCAAGGGCTTGAACTTCCAACTATCCTGACTATGGCCCCCTTGTTCTTTCCATTATCTTTGTTCTCAGGGTGCATTACCCTCACAACTAACTCCCTCGGGCAAGACAGGGATTGTCATGTCATTCTTTTAAAGCTGAAAATCTGGGCTGTCAGAGACTCCTTTGTCGAAATCACACAAAATGTGCCTCTCCCTGCCTGTATACTTCAGTTTCTCAGTCATCCAGGTAGTAGCAACTGTTCCAGTGCTGGTTGCTCCATGTCTCTTAGAAACAGCTGCTCACTGTGACGCATAACTGGTCACTGTGATGCACACTGTATAAAGCAATCCCCAGCTGACAAGCCATTCTTCTCCTGTACTTCCTGTTTATTTATCTCATATAAGCTCCAGACCACCAGAGATCAGGGCTTGATACTCTGGAAATGATCCTGATCAGTCCCCGTCCACATAAATAAATCTGCCTCCAAACTCTGGGTGTCATTTTAGTGTTTTTGCTCACTGTTACAACACCACCAATGGAAGCAGGAGGACTTGAACCCGTGGCTTCTGAGTCACAGGTCCCCTTTCCCAAGAGTCTTGCCAATCAGGCACTGGGCAGTCATGGCTATGCCTCCTCCCTGTGGGGAGAAGGGCCAGTAAAAACACTCAATTCGTGTACTGACCCAAATCATTGTTTTTAGAGATAATTCAGGATGAAAAATTTACCCTGAAAACAGAAAAACAAAAAAAGGAAGAAGTGATCCTCTTTAGTCTGTATGTCAGTTTACATTTTAAGACAATGGGCTCCATTGTAATGCACGCATTTTCTCAGACCCTTTCCTGTATGATAAAATAGATGCTATGTAGAGAGTCATTTAAAAGCATGACTTTAAACAAAATTGCTTTTAACTATGTTTTTTCAAAGTCAATAGTGTCAAAACACTCTTGAACTACAAAAATGGTTACTTTGAATTTATATTTGTGCAGCCTGAAGAAAAACAGAAAGTCGTAAAAAGTTTGGACTGTATTTAAGGAGTTAAAATTCCCCTCCGTTTTGTAGATAACATTCAGCTTCTTCCAGAGAGTTCCACATTTATAATAAACTTTAACATTCTCTTATTGCTTATAGAAAAACAGCTGCCCAAACCCACATCAATGTTTATTCACACAGGTCACAAACGAACATTTCTCTTATCTTGCATTGATGAAGCGCGCAGATTCACTTACCTAAAAATGATGACAAGAGGCCTAAGAGCATGTTGGTGTCTTCATCGCCAAAACATGACGAAGCCTTGCTGCTGTTTTCACTGAAATTCCATAAAGTTTTGCAAACCAAGCAGGCCAGCTGCCAATCCGTAGGGCCAAAATCTCTTAAACAATCCATGAGCCTGAGTTAATAGCAGTCAAATTGGAAAGTCAAAGTCTGCGTTTAATTTTTGCATCTTTAGCATGATGATTATGCTGTGCTATTCAATATGTGCCATATACGATTCAATGATCATTTAAAGTAATTTAATATTATCTACAAATTTAAGTGGCTGCAAGGTAGCAGTTATTCACTCGTGAATGCTTTTAAGTGTCTAGGGAACCTAAGTCCCCTCCTTACCCCGGGGGCCTGGGACTTTGGAATGTTGAAATGCCTGTCCCCAAGGAACACGGAGAGGCCCAAGCTCCTAGAAGTTGTAGCCTCTGATTCCTGAGTCTGGTCTCTGTGTCTTGATACTTACTTTTTAACGCCACCTCCCTCCTTTAGGACAATGTGCTTGTCTTTATCCACGGTGAGATTGAGGAGAACGCCACAGGCGGAAAAGCAAAGTTCCTGGTGCCTGGCATCCAGCAGTGCAATCATGAACTTGTGCACTGGGAGGGCAGAGAACAAACGCGAATGGGCCAAAGCGTCAGGCTCACAGCCACGTGTATCTTGGTTTACACAAATGGCACAATGGAAATGGGTGGAGGGGGGCTCACAACCCCTGAAACCTGGCAGGGAACCTAACCCATTTTTCCTGTCTTTATCTGTCTAGCAGCAGTGGGCTCCCCAACAACCACCATTCCCAGAGCCTGCTCCCAGGTAGCGGGTCCTGCTCCCAGGCAGCAGCAATAGAGTTCTTCAGATAGAAAGGGAACACAGGTAACATTCGTCTCTAACTCAGGTTGTTCTCAAGGGTCTTTGTGACCCTCCAGGAGCAACTCTGTAAATGCAGATTCAGGGAGGAAGGTCTGTTTCTGGCAAGAGAGATCCTCCCTGAGGAAGATCTGCCAAGGCCTTGTGGGAGAGAAGATGCTCAGACCTTTGAAAACTGGCCTGTGGCAAGGCTATCACTTGCCTAGGGGAGACTGTTTCCCTTACTCCCAGGAAATGGGGCTGGGAGTTGTTTAGCCTGTGTCCTCATCCCGCAGCAGGGGCTGAGCAAAGGATGCACCGGTGCGCTCGCCCCTGCCTGATGCTGTACACCTCAGGTGCTGCGCTGCTTTGGCCTCAACCCTACTGATGGGGCCAGCAGTGAACCTGGCAGAGTGGTGACAGCTGCCCTTATCTCTGTGCAGCGAGATGGTGGGTGGCAGTTTGCAGGCCCTGCTCTGTATATCTGCACCATCAAAACATCCTATGATGAAATGGACAACTGAGGGTTAAAAATTATTTTTGCATGAAATATGTAAGACATATAGCGCCTGGTTAGTAGAAATACTTGGGCAGCTGCCACCCACCAGTATAGGAGATAGAACAGCACACTCAAAACATGTTGTAAATTACAAATATGTACAATTTGTCAATTAAATAAAACATTTTTAGGGTCAAATTTATGTCTTTGAACTTCCTTTATTTTCTAAAAGTATATCATTATTATTTTATTTTTTTACAGAGGTTAAGAGCACAATATATTCATTGGGGAAAAGAAAGCTTCTGTAGGAGAGGGACAGAAGAAGGACCCGAGTGGGTTGCCCCCCAGGGGTATATCATCATCATTATTGTTGTTGTTATTGTTGTTATTTGGGGAGTCTTTCACTTTGTAGCCCAGGCTGGACTCAAACTTACAATGATCCTCCTGCCTCAGCCTCCTGAGTGCTGGGATCAAAGGCATGCGCCACCATGCCCAGAACAAAAGGCATATTCTGTCTTAAATATTATTCCCATAAATCATTTATACTTTATACCATGATATGAATACACATACATAAGCAATACCCCAGGATAGTTTTGTTTATTTTACATTGCTGGGGATTGAATCCAGGGCCTTTTCACTGAGCTATATCCCTGGCTCTTTTTATATATATATATATTTCCCTTTTTATGTATATATATATATATATATATACTGCCTCATAATAAATATATATATTTAAAATATATGAATATATTATAAATATATATTTATATTTATCATATATGAATGTATATATATGATAGATATATATTTATTATGAGGCAGTATCTTCTTAAGTTTGCCAGGCTGACCTCCAACTAATGATCCTCCTGCCTCAGCTCCAAGGGGCTAAGCTCATAACGTAGACACCACTGCACCTAGCCCCAGCATAGTTTTCCTATCTTTGAACTTATGGTGGTGACGTTATTCTCTATATGTCCTTCTATACCCCTAGCATGTTGCCCCTACATTATGTGTTTTAGTTGGTTGCACGTTGAGTCATTTCTTAATTGCCGTACAACAATGACTGCGAACCTTTTAGAGCCCAAGTGCCAAACTGCAACTCCAAGCCCCACTTAATCATTACAGAGTGCCCACACTGCAACTAAACCCCAATACTAAGGTTTTATTTAGAAAAAACTCAGACATCAACATTTTTCTCTTAAAAGAAAAACTCAACAGCACATGTGCCACAGTTTCTCCCCACTACTGTAGGATATTTTCTTGAAGGAGTATATTACATATTTCTGTAACTATTAGTTACATATTTCTGTAACTATTCCCTTGGCTGTTTATGGACATTTAGGTTGTTTCTGCTTCTTGCAAAATGGAATAGACTCTCTAGTGCATGAAGAGAAATGTCTCCTGCGTCCAATCCCATAGCAGAAATGCTAAGTTTATCTGTGTGAAACGCACACACCCATCTCTCTTGGCACGCAGCAGGCCGCTGGCCAGGGAGATGGTCTGACTGCCCTTGCTGCGCAGGCCCAGCTCTGCAACCTGAGCTGAGCACCTCGCCTTGAGGACAGAATGCAGAGCGCTCCCTCTCCCCAGGCACAAACAAGGATCATGTTATAGTCGCCTAAGCTCCGGAACCACTGCACCGATTATTGCCAAGAAGTACACGTTGATAAATTTAAGTGTCATTAACTCACCATTATTCTGCACAATGAAATTGCAGATGTCACGATCCTGGGAGAGATTTCCAAAAACACGCACAGCCTCTAGGATTCCATCCATGTTTTTACTTACAAGAAGTTTTAAAAGCACTAATTTTGGTAACAAGAAAAATAAAATCAGTAGCATTTTAATTTAAAGGCAAACCAATTTCACACTAAATACTGATAAAAATTTAAAATTTAGGCTGGGATTTAGCTCAGTGGCGCAGTACTCACCTAGTTAGCAAGAGCAAGGTTTAAATTCTTCATAGTGCAAAATAAAGAAATATAAATTAAATGATAATAAAATATAAACTCTAAAGCACTTCAGCAAGAATTAATAAACTAATCGTCCTCATTGTCTAATTTCTTAAAATCAGATCATTTGTGATGGAAGCCTAAGACATTTGTGACAGAAGTCAAAAACCAGGAATGCCTCCACTTCTGTATTTAATCAAATCAAAACCTTAAACCTAGCTCCGAACCTTACATTCAGCAATATATAGCTTTTTGTCTTGGATTATGGAATTCTTCACTTGGTAGAAAGATAAATTGTTGATCGTTGCAGTAGTGTTGATCACCAGCTCCTCAGAGTCATCAAGTGACTTGGATTCTGGAACAAAGAGAGGGTAAGGGAGTCAAAGATGCACCCCAGCAAGGACACTGTAAGCACAGCAGCAGCAGCAGCACCAGGGACAAGCTGCTGGCCCCAGTGAGCTGTGTGCAAGGCATCAGATGTGCTGCTTGCTCCTCTACTTCTCCGGCACTTTTCCCACAGGGAGATACCCCAAATGCAAGGCAGCACACCCGGCAGGGCAGGCAGGCCACAACACTCAGTCCCTATGCCCTGCAAATCTAGAAGAGTCAGGTCTGTCTAGGTCCTGTGTCCAAGGAGACACACAGGGTCCAACACGCCATGAGCTGAGCTGGCTGAGGTCCCCAAGCTGTACAAGGGCTCCTCCAGGCACAATGCATCCTCCACACTGCTGCCTGCCAACAGGACGATCCCCACCGTCACCCAGAGTGACTGCCTTCCTGACACACAGAATCCATCACAGTTCACTTCTCCATCACCCCAAGCCTCTGTCACCTCCTGCTGGCTCCCACCAACAACCACCTTCAAAAGTAAGTTAGAGAAGGCCACTCAGGGCACCACCCTCCATGGGCTTCACCTCACACAGCCCATGGGCCATCCTGGGCTGCCCTGGCCCTTCCTCCCCTAGAGCCCCCAGACCCCAGAGCCACGCACACCTGTCTCCTGGCTCTGTGAAGCATGTGACCAGGACCCTGCCTGAGAACTCTGTCATGCTGAGCTGGCTGGGGCTATGTCTGCCCTCCAGAACATAAGAGCTGGGGTTCTGTTTCAGACCCCCCTCTGGCACTGACTCATGGCTTGACAGTCTGGAATTTGGATCTGCCTGGAAAATGGCAAATCTCTGAGCCTGAGGGATGGTTCCTAGTGAAAATATTTTTGATTTTTAAAAGCCCCTGTGGAAGGAGACTGGCAGCTAGACTGGCAGCTGGGCAGCCTGTAGCACAAGCAGCTCCCCTGGGAGGGGGGCTAGGCTGCAGGGAGGGGAAAGAGGCATGCCTGAGGGCAGCCTTTGCTATGGGACTGTGAGCACAGGCTGGCGCTCAGGCTGGTGAGCACTCGGCCATAAGGAGAATGGTGGCAGCTGCTCTGACCTTGCCCCTGTGACAGGCCCCTTCTGGAGGCTCGGTCACAGTCCCATGCTGGCCTCAGCTTATCCTAAGCTTCCTGTCAGAGGAGACAGGAGCTTTGAGGACCAGCTTCCTGCTGTGGGAATCTGGTCACCATTCTTCACTGAGGCAGAGAAACCAGGTGGGAAAGTAGCAGAGACTAGGGTAGGAGGACTGAGAAATTCCCACCAGAAGCTGAGCCACAGAAGGCAATGAGGAGGTGGGGGTTCTTTGTTGAAGGTGACTTTTGCTCCCTGTAAGCTTTATTTAGAGATAAAATCTTTTGGAAGATAGAATGGACAAACGTTGCTAGGCATGGCAGGGCACAATTGCAATTCTAGCTATTCAAGTGGCTGAGGCAGAAGGATTGCAAATTCAAGATCATCCTAGGCAACTGAGTGAGACCCTGTCTCAACAAGGACATGTCGTTGCCCAAGCAATTGCTCAAAGCAAGGTAGGTTAGAGGGCCCTGGCCAATCACAGGAGAGCAGGGTTTCTTTGCAGTGACCCACCTCCTCTGGCATGGAGCCCTGGCAGTGCAGCATTTCTTAGTGAAATATTTCTCAGTGAGGGTTCTCTACCCAAGGGTCAGGACCATCCAGGGAGCATTTGAACAAGCAGATTCCTGAGACCCACATCCTAACTGATGAATCAAAACCTGACCTCAGAGAGGGCCAAGAGTTTACATTTTAAAATTTATTTTAATCCTGTATTTATTTGGTACAGAGTCTCACTATGCAGCTTGGACTTGTAGTGATCCTCCTGTCTCAGCCTCCCCAGTGCTGGGATTGCAGGCATGCACCACCACGCCCGGTTTCAGTGGCCAGGATGGTGCACCTGGGGTTCCAGGGTTGGCATGGCATGTGGGCATCAAACCCCTTCTTGCACTTTTCAGGCAGGCACTTAAACCACCAAGCTATCTCCCCAACCCAGGATCTGTACTTTTAATAAAGCTCCTGTGTGTGTGTCATGTGCAAGGAAGTTCAATAACCACCAAATAAAAGTTCCGATGGCCACTTAAGAGTAGAAGAAGAAAGTGATTTATTCCTGGGTTCCATAACCTCAAGGGGGAAACCTGGACAGACTCCACATGGGAATCCCTCAAATGACCAAGGCAGAGCACCACACTGCCAGAGGACTTGGTGATGGGGTGGGGAAGGGACAGACCTCAGAGTCACTGAAGGAGACAGCTAGGGGACAAGTAGGCTTTTATTTCAGGTCAAATCTGCTTCTTGGATTTTTGTCTCCTGCTCATCTTCTTTTGAATCAAAAGTGGTGTCCCCCAAGAGGCTCATGTATAGCAAAGGGATTTTATAAGATTATGACAGGAGGGCACTGACAATCCACTGAGGGGCTCACAGTTGAAGGCCTTATTAGGAGATGGAGCACAGATGGAGGAAGCAGGTCATGGTGGCATGACCTGGAAGGGTTCACAGTGTGTCATCTGGGCTCTTTCTCTCTGCCTGCTTCTTGGCTGCCATGACACAGCAATTTTTCTCCACCACACCCTTCTGCCATGATTTCTCTGCCTTATCACAGCCCTAACAGCAGGGGAGCCAGCTAACCATGGACTGACACTACAGATTGAAACAATAAATTGCAATAAACCTTTCTTCCTTGAAGTTATTCTCAGGTACTTTGAACCAGTGATGCAACGCTGACTAACACAGTCCTTCTGCCTGACATGTTCTCATCTATTGCAGGCTCAGTTCCTTTACTTGACCAAGCCATAGTCAGGGGAAGGGGCTGGGTCTGGAGCAGATAAGAATTCCCAGTGGGTTCCAGGCTAGCTCCTTGGCAGCTGGAGAAGTGAACTGTGGTGCCCAGAAACCCCAGGACTCAAACTTAGTGGGCAAGGAAGAGTTAAGGGCGCCCTATCGAGCTAGTTTCTGGTAGGAAACTGGAAAGGCTGTTGTATTTTTAATTAATGAATGAATTTCATTTTTGTATTTGGTATAGAGTCTCACTACACAGCTCAGATTCACAGTGATTCTCCTGTTTTCAGCCTCCCCAGAGCTGGGATTACAGGTGTGCACCACCACACCAGGTCTCCTTTGAACTCCGAGTGCCCCCGGGGCAGGGCTGGCCCAGCATGTGGAACCAGGAATTGAACGCTTGTCCCTGTACTTGCCAAAGCAGCGCTTAGCCCAGTGAGCTATCTCACAGGCCCTAGAAATGCTATTTTAATGAGTCCTGTATCCAGCAGATGCAGCTTTCCATCTTGTACCTTGGGCTGAGAAGCACCAATCAGAAGCTCTCCCAGAAGGGGAAGGAATGTCAGCAGACAGGGACCTACCATATGGTAAGGCTGAAAAGCTCGATGTTGTAACAGACTGGATTTCTGTAACAGCTAGGTGCATATTCCACCAAAGGGCTTACGTGTAGCCAGCAGCCTGGAAGAGGGTTCAAGACTAACTATGTAGATTTGGGGTTATTATGCAGAAGTGATAAGCTGTGGAGAAAGCCTTTCTTCAGAAAGGCCACATTTGGGACTCCATGACTTACCACCTGTAGATTTGGGGTTATTATGCAGAAGTGATAAGCTGTAGAGAAAGGCCACATTTGGGACTCCATGACTTACCACCTTGAGACCCACAAAGTCACTATAGCTCATGGAGCTCATTTCCTCATCTGATCTCAGTAAAAAAAAAAAAAAAAAAAAACTCCACCTTACTCCTGCTGGGAGGTAATAGACATCAAAGTGCTTTTTAAGCGATACAGCTCCATAAGAAGATATGGCGCTGTCACTTACACAAAGCATAAGCCACACGCACCCACTGCTGCTCCGTGGCTCTGGCCTATCGGCCCTTGTGCCCCTCTGTGCCTGTCACCTGGTACATTTCACAAGCTGTGGTTCCTGCCTGCACACCTGCCATCGCTCCAGACAGAGGCTGAGTTCCTCGAAAGCAGACCACATCTATGTTCTTAAAACCTTGTCACAGACGGAATACCTGTGGGCTCCCTCCACACATCTAAATGCTAAAATATAAAGAAACAAATTTGGAGGTAAATCCTGTGAGCAGGTGACAAAGGTGAAATGAGCACATACAATCCAATAGCTGGTCCTCTAGCCCATGCTCTCTCGGCTGCACAAGGAATCAGCAAGAAGATGGCTATCTACACCCCAGAAGTGGGCCGCCCCACAGTCTAATCCTGCTGCTAACTTGACCTTGGACTTCCTGTCTCTAAAACTGAGAATGAATTTTTATGCTTTCAGCTGCCCAGCATTTTGTTATAGTAGTCTGAACCGACTAACATGAACCAACAACACACAGCATGGGACTTTATGTTGCATAGCTGGGGTGGGAGCAGTTCACAAAAACATAGATGTTCTCAGGCATTAAACTTCCTCCCACAGGAATAAAATCTGCTACAACTCTGGTTATTAGTGGTTACATTGATTATCTTGGATTGCAGCTGGTTTTTCTCACACTAGCAAGCAGAATTGCTTGATTCACGTGGGCCTAAAAAGTGGAAAATGGTGCTGGGTGTGATGCTGCACACCTGTAATTGCAGTGCTCTGAGGAGGCTGAGGCAGGAAGATTGCAAGTAGGAGCACAGCCTGGATAACTTGGTCAATCAGTGAGACCCTATCTCAAAATAAAAATTTTAAAAAGATCTTGGTAGTTCAATCTTTAGTACTAGGTGTAAAAGAGAGGGTGCTATGGACTGAACTGTGTTCCCCTAAAATTTATGTTGATAAGGCTCCTAGGAATAGTGAGGTCAAATGAGGTCATAAGAGTAGTTGCCTATCCCAGGAGGACTGAGGATGTGAAAAGAGAGGATCACTACACATACCCCAAGGACTCCCACCAAGGAAAGCCCTATGAACACACGGTGAGATGACGCTGTACACAGGCCATAAGGAAGAGTCCTTGCAGGAATTGCTGGCTGGTGTCTTACTCTGGAACTTCCAGCATCTAGGAGTGTGAGCAATGGGTCTCTCTGAAGCTGCACCATCTACAACATTGTGTTAATCCCCACACTCCATGGCACTGGGGGGTGGCAGCCTGAGTTAGGAGCAGGGGGCAGATGTGACCCAAGGACTGGGTGACATGATCACAGGTCATGTAAGAAATGAAAGAAGAAAAGAGAAATGAACTCAAGGCCCGTGGACTTCCTTAGAAAGAACATGGGCTTTTGAATTTTTTGAGATTCCCTTGGCTGACTTTTGCTCATTTGATTGGTATAACTGTTTGAAGCTGTGTTATAAAACATTCACCTTTATTAAAACACATGCTTCTGGGGATTTTATAGGATCTACAATCAACTGTGTCCAACCTGCAGCCTGACTTGTTTTTATTAGAGTGAAGAGGAATTGTCTTGGGCTGCATTTGAAATATAATCAATGGGTCCAAGTAACAAAATTTCTTTTATTTATCTATTTAGGCTTCATTTATCTATTTTGGGTTTTTATAGCCCAGGCTGGGCTTCAACTCTCTATCCTCCTACCTCAGCCTCTCAAATACTTGGAACACAGACATGGGGGGAGTACAACAGGAGTTGTAGGCCACATGCTAGCCATGGTATTTCTCTCTAAAATCTGGAATACGTTTAAGGCCATTGTGAAGGGAAGAGGCATCTTCCTCACAGAGGTTCCGGGCCCCTGAAAGCCAGGCCCTTACCAGCACCCCCACCCCACCCCTGACTGCCCCGGGCTGGCTCTCACCCAGTGTGGTCAGCAGCAGGCCTACCACATGACTGTCGGCGGCCAGCATGGGGCCCACACGCGGGTGGATGGCCATGTTGGCCAGCACGCGCGTCAGCTTGACGAGCACATCCTCGGCCTCCATGGGCAGCCTGGGCCCGGTGGGCCGCTGAGGCCAGGGAGAGGGCAGGCCCAGCTGCTGGTATGTCTGGAACAAGGACAGCAGGGTGTGGATGCTCCCTCTCTCTTTGCAAAAACGTTCCCGAGCCTGGTTGTTTTTCGCTGTCAGGTTGCCAAGGATAAAAACAATCCGAACGACTAAATCCTGCAACAGATAAGAGAAGTTACAAGAGCAAAGAGATGGGAACAAGTTGTTGAAAAGAATACGTTTGGGCTTAATTTATTCACAGTTTAATTAACAGTAAAATGAACACATCTGGCTTCCTCTAACTCATATAGTATCTGATTCCCAAGATGGGTGTAAATGGATGGGGAAGTTAAAAGCACTTGTTGGCAACGAAAGTGAACAGGGCTGGCGGAAGTGATCAGCAAGGACCTCACGTCCTTCATCTGAAATTCTGGGTGGCCTTTTGCTTCCTTTCCTAGAGATCAACTAGTGGAGTGGGATAATGCATTGTGTAAATCTAGGTTCTGACACTAAGAGGCTTCTCAAACAGCTACATTTTCCTTAAAATTCATCTCTTGAATAAAACGCTGCATTTCTTTCCCAGTAGTGGACTGTGCTACCAAAGGGTCTTGTGTGTATGCGTGTTTTGTTTTGCATTGGACATTAAATCCAGGGCCTGAACACTGAGCTCCATCCCCAGTGCTTGTTTTTTTCAACTTTAATTTTTTTTTTTTTTTTAGACAAGGGTCTAAGTTGCTAAACTGTGTAGGCTGGGCTTGAACGTCTGATCTTCCTGCTTCAGCCTCCCAGAGAGCTGGGATGAGAGGGATGGGCCATTGTTTGTAGCTCTGCAGAGTTCTTAATTTGTCACTATTGACATTTACATCCAGATACTGTAATTGTTTGTGGGGACAGTGGTCTCGGGGGCCAATGGCCCCTGCCTCTCAGTGTCTGTAGTGCTTTCCATCTCCATGGGTAACATGGTTTCCAGTGGAGAACCACCACCCTACTGCACTAAAGCAGTACCTGCCTGTTCTTGACCTGGACAATGTGCCTTGAGTGACACTTTTATAACTGCTTGCTAAATTGTGTGTACATGTTTCATGCATTTATTTGGATATTAAGTATATTTCATAGTAAAAAGTTTTTTTAAAGCCCTCAAGATAAGAACCTTTTAAAATTAAAGATACAGAAAGAATTATGTTCTTGAGCTGACAAAAGTGCAGACAGAAGTTAAGATGTGCACTGCTTCTGGGTGGCATGGTGGTGATCTGGGGACAGATGTGAAAAGATTACTTAGCTGAGGACCAGACAAGAAACCAGGTCCTGGAGAAGCTGTTCCAGGTGCATGGCTTCTGGGGGAGGGTGGAGCAGGATTTGAACCAGGATTATCCAGACTCTGGAATTCTTTCCTGCCTCCCTGGGGGAGTTTTTTCTTTTCTTTTCTTTTCTTTCTTTCTTTCTTTCTTTCTTTTTTTTTTTTTAATTTTTATCTCCTGTTTTGCCCTCTCCCCTCCAGAACAGTTAAGGAATTATCTTTCAAAATACAAATATACTAGCAGAAGCAATGACCATAAACCAGAAGCAATGACCACACACTCTGCATATCAGAATAACAGTTGTCAGCAGCCTTTAGGAGAAGAGACAAAGGCAAAGGACTGGGCCTATTTTTCTGGGGAAACTGCAGGACCAAGTGGGACCAGAGCCCAGGGGCCCAGGGCAGGTGGTATTGGGTGTGGCAAAGACAGCTGAGGATTAAGGACAAAGAATGACTTTTGCTTTTGCCTAAACCTACTCTGCCAATCCCAACTTGCTCTTGCTCTCTGAAAAGAAAAAAAAAAAAACAACTCTCTCCTGACATTTTGGCAGAGAAGCAGCGAGGCTGCTGCTTGTACAGCTGGGAGTCATTTGCCAACACGAAGACGAGACAGAGCCTAACACTATCACAAGGACTGGAGCTGGTCCAGGTCAGCATTCATTTTCGGAAACATTTTAACTCAGAGCACTCAGCCAATCACAGTCACAGTCCAATTAGGAAATCCTACCCCTCCCTCCACCCCTGGAAAGACAATGCCAGTCCTTAGATAATGCTTGGTTGGGGTCGGGAACTGAGAGAATACACACAGACAATATGCGACCGCACTCACTGACTGAGAAGACCAGGCTGACTAATCTCTGTGGGGAAACAGCAGGGACTGCAAGGGCTAAGCAAGAGCTACACCATGGAGGGGATTATGAATTCCAGCTCGAGAGCCGGGCAGTCTGGGTTCATAAGGGGATTTAGCCTCTTTGGGTCATTACTGACTCATGTACAAAATGGAGGAAATATCACATTGTGAGACTGAATGAGATAAAACAAGCAAAGCACAAGTTGGATTGAGTAATAATTCAGCGCCGCTCTGAACACTTTTCACATATTAGCAATGAAATTGCTAGGAGCACGGAACTGTGGTGCAGTCAACAGTCTCAAAGAGGGCAGAAAAGAGGATGTTCAGTGAGCCCTGTGGAGCTGGCAGCAGAGTTACCATAAAGAAACTTGACAGACACTGACTTAATGTACAAATAAAGTTAAGGAAAATAATATGTACTGGCAATGATCTCATTAAAAGGGTATAAATAAAATATATGTGAATAATGTCATAAGAATTAGTAATTCAGTAATTCAACTTTAAAATTGGTACAGAAAAACATTTGTATGTTACTGCTGCATTGTTCCAGCAGAAGTTGTAAGAGTCTTAAAACCTTTCATATTTGCAGTGTGAGCATTTGTAAAACATTGAAAGTGGTTTGAGATGATAGCATAAAAGTATTTCTTATGACTTATTTTATATCATTTGTTTTCCTCATCGTAAAACTGAATAAAACCTGTTTGACTTCGTTCTCAAAAAAGAGAAAAAGAAACGTGAGTCTGACCCTGAAGACACGGGGGAAGAGAGTGCATTGGTGGGGAGGAGGTTTTCAAAGGGGACAATTTCCTTCATGGAGCTTGGTGTTAGTTTGTCCTTTGATCACCTAACTGTCCCCCGCCCCCCAGAAGCTGGAGCCCATGGGCTTTAAGGTTAAAGCTAGGTCACAGCATGATTGTATTACTTGAATGCTACTTCACATAAAACCGATGGTTACTTCAAGAAATTCCCAGGAGCAGAGGCTGGGACTCCCTGGATTCCAGAGGGAGGACACTGAGGTGGTAGCCTCTTGCACACCTGAGCCAGACCCAACTGAAAGGCAGGAAGTCAGCTCTCTGGCCCAGGACAGAAGAGGTTCTCAGGAATTAAGAACCTCGGTGCAAAAATGTTTTTATTTTCTAAGTGGAGGACTATAAGTAAAATTTTTGAGGCTTTTTCAACGTTTTCTGATTAGACACTGCTCGAGTACCACTTTAGAAAATCCTAATAGTAGCCATCATGGCAGCAACTGGCACACACAATTTATGATGTGTGCAGACCCTGTCTAAGGCTTTATGCACAACAATTCATTAAAAATAACTTCACTTTTGTCATCAGAAAAAGCACCACTTCTATCATTGACTCAACAGTGGTCTGTTAATAATGTCTGGACCTCACTGTTTTCCAAGGATGTGTTCTTCTTCCATTTGCACAAAAGCACATTAAACAAGGCAGGAAAGGGCTGGTCACATAGCTCAGCAGATTAAAGCACCTGCTTAGGCAGAGGCAGGGACTGGGGTTCAATCCCCGGCATGCCATGCTGGTCCTACCCCCGGGGCAACTGAGCCGGCCACTGAGACTGGGCACAGTGGTGCATGCCTGTAATACCAGCACTTGGGAGGCTGAAAACAGGAGGATCACTACGAGTCTGATCTGTGTAGGGAGACCCTGTAGACCCTGCACTAAATACATTAAAAAAAAAAAAAAAAAAAAAGGCAGGAAAGTCCTGAGTGACTTTAATGCCTTCTTAAGGAATTTAATTGTTGGTTCTGTTTGCTAATCATTAATGGGACTGATCCATTTACCATATTCAGAAGGATGCTCAGCTGTTGGCTTTTGTCTCTTATTCCTCCCTGCTTCACCTCACCAGCCTGTGCTTTTTCTCACAGCCTATTTGTACCACCTGGGGTATTGCAGTGGGCTGCTAGGAGCCTTTGGACCAGGCCCCGGCCTACAGGGCAAAGCAGGTTTTCTAAGTGATCATCTTTTTCAAAATTCAAATGACCTCTATGCCCCACCTTCATCTGCAGGCTAACCTGGGAAGTAAGAAAAACAGCTAAGTGTTGCTTTTCTTTTTCTCTAGAAATTCCCCCAGGCTCTTTCTGCCCCTAAAATTCCCAGACCCTCCCATCTCTGTGGCTCTTACTGTGACAGGATTCATTAAGCCGTTAGTAGGGGAGAAGAAAGTCCAGGCCATGGATCAGGCAGCACTAACACTGACACACTATCTCTTCGCTTGCTTTCAGATGAAGAATGAGGGGGTGGTTCCTGGCAGCGGCAGTGCCAACTGCAGGATGGCTTGCGAGATCAACAAGCGAACGGCAGATTGCGCGCTCGCAGCACCCAGCTTCAGCGACTGCTCTGCTCGCCGGCTCACTCCTCTTCTTGGGCTTGCCTGCGGTGCCTTCGCTTTTCACCTTCCTCTGCTTGGTCTTCTGTGGATCTAGGGAACACGAGCTAGGCCACAACAGAAGCAGCCTCACAGGCAGTTGACAGAGCTGGGGCTTCCTTGCTCCGTGCCAGGGTTTGTCAGAGCTCACCTGGGATCCTGAGGCAGGAGGCCCCTCACCCCGTCACAGGGGGCCCTCTGCTCCTCTTCCTCTTCCCCAAGTTTCTTCTACAGCACCAGGGCCTAGGATTATGGAGAAAGCCCAATTCCCTGCAAATCTATATAGTATCTCTCAGCTACTTGTCCTATAAAGACCTGCAGAAAGTAAATCAGGCCCACATAACAGATTTGTAGAGACCACCAACTCCACGGTAGAAAACAATTTCATCAATACATAGTTCTCTATTCCTTTTATTCTTAGACAATGTCCAAGAACTATCCACAAACTGATACTCCACTTTTATGACATTTTTATTAAATTCAATACAAAGTCGGACATTCATACCACAGCTATGTGTTTTGAAATAGTAAAATGAAGATAAATTAGGAGAGAGACCTTTTTTCTAAAGCAGGTAGTCTTGTGTAACCAGTTCATACTGACTAATTTTGCTTAAAACAGAACCAGCCTAGCAACAGCAATTGCC